GTGTGTGCGTGTGTGTGTGCATGTGCGTGTGCGTGTGTATGTGTGTATGTGTGTATGTGCGTGTGTCTGTGTGTATGTGTGTGTAAATGGCCACATGCATGTGTTGTGTCGTGGGCCAAGTCATACTTCCACGGGACTACTAAAAGCTGAACCTGTAGCCTCTCCCACAACAAGGGTGATAATACCCTTTCATGAACCCCAAAAACAGCTGCAGAGTGGTTGTGGCCCCCAAAAGAGGACTCACTGTGTGTGGTGGGAAAGATGTGGGTAGTTTCTTCTTCTTGGCCATGATGGCCACTCTTTCATGATCACCAGCAGGACCCATAGCTATATGGATGACCACACCTTGGGGCCTTGTGGGTCAACACATAGGAGCGCAAAAGCAGATGCGACCGCAGTCAGGATAGGTAGGTCATGCAGACACCACAGGATGCCCTTTTACCTAGTACTTTTACCAGCAGGAGTACTTTGATAGCTTGTTACAGCACAGAAGACGGAGGCGTCCAAGGCACAGACAATATGCACTGTCCCAGAAAATTGCACCAAAAATGGCTTACCTTTTGCTAGTAGTACGAGTAGTCGACAAAAACCATTTGGGAGTGTGCAACGTCCGTGTCGAAAGAAGGAAAGGGGGCGCGGTACACAAAACCTGTGGGGTGTGCACGGTGTGCATGTAAGCGCGTCATACATTCAAACATAAGTCGCATTGTCCATGTCCTTTTGCAATGGCTTATAAGCCGTGCACTCCGTGGGTGTTGGTGTTTGTGGGTGCTTTTGCTGATGTTGTTGGCAGGCCATGCATGCAAAAAAAGCGACACACACCGCACGAAGTGCCTGCAAGGCAGCATTGGACCAGACTCACCTTTGCAACCTAAAATGAGGCGTGTGCGGGTATCTCACCGAAGGCGGAGAGACTGCCGCATACAACCAGACATTCGATGGTTTTCATACATTCGCAAAAAATTTCGGACATGAGACCGCACACAACAATGTGGCAATGTACACGAAATTTTAAATGTGGAACAATGCTTATTGTTGGAGGGTGCTGACCGCCTCGCAAATATAAGCAGCTGACATGTACGGTTTGCAGCGAAGATGAAGGATCCAACTGCCATAGTTGTTGGGGCATACGTGCATATGCGCGTTCATGTTTGTGGGTACAACTAAATATATATTTTTCGTCTACTTGGAAGCCATATAGGGGAACTTATCGTGGGTAAGCATATGCTTTAAGTTGCGCGCAGCCTGAAAAGCATCATCAGCGCTGCTCTGAGTAACATAACAGCTTAAACGCATGATTTGCAGTATTATGGTATTTCTTTGATTTGCTTACAGGGGGCGCCGCGCTGCTGCTTCATATGTGGTCGTAGACAACGCCTGCGCTTTGGCTGGCGGCGGCTCTGCCAGCTTTTGAGGACAAGTTTTATCCGAA